CGGGGTGTCTGCTCAGGCCTGTGCTGACCGCAGCCACGTGAATGACAGGCGGCCAGGTGAACTCTGTCCCACGAGGGCGAGGCAGGAAGTCGGGGAGACGGAGGACGGACATGTCCCTGGCCTGCCCGCTCCTGCCCTGACCAGCTGGCTTTTCTGGGCTTGAACTTGGTCTGTTTTCCCTGTGGTCCTGAGCCTGAGACTTCCCAGAACTTCCAGAACATTCAGGCCTGCCCGGTGGCCCTCGGCCTCGGGGACACGCCTCCTCCCAGTGCCAGGCTGCCTGTCCCCGTGCCTTCTCGGTCGTCGAGCAGACACTGCGCCCTCCCAGCTCCTCGCTTTGACAGGGCGGGCAGGTCCCACCTCCCGCAGCCTCTCCTGGGGCTCTGGTCTGTCAGCTCCTGGTGTTGGGGCCGCAGGAGGGGAGTCTACGGGGAGACACCCAGGGGTGGCCTTGCAAATGGGCTCCTTGCCCACGAGCGCAGGTGCTGGCGGGCCCCAGCAGAGCTCCTCTCCAGCGGAGCAATGCCATCCGCGTGCCGGGCTGGGGGCCAGGCTGCCTGAGGAGGTGGGTGTGCCCTGCGGGCAGGGCCCTGGGCTAGTGCCCACCTGCCCCCCACAGTGGCCCCAGGGCACCGCCTCTGAGAGGTAGTAGTTAGTTCAGCTTCCACGGGTTTCTCCCTTAAGACTCGTCTCAGCCACGCGCGGTGTGGGCTCTGCCGCCAGGGACCGCTGTCCCCGTGCCCCGCCTGCCCGGGGCTGCGCGTCGCACTGGTTTCTGGCTCACAGTGTAGAGGGCGCCCGGCCGAGGGGGCGGAGGGTGCAGGCGAGGAGGGCGACAGTGGGGGGCCTCGGGCTCCTACCCCCTACCCCTCTCCGCCTGTGCCAGGCTGGACTTGGGGGCCCACCTTCTCTGCTCTGGGGGGTCAGGGGCCAGCCACAGGTCGGGGGCACCTGCTGGGCACCCGGGCGGGACGGCGAGCTGGTGGCAGCTCCACACGCTCGCTCACCCTCCCGGGCCGCGTTCTCGGGTCTCACTTTTCTGTCCTGATGGTTAAAGGAGTAGCCACGCGTCTGCCGGATAGGCCTGGGGGGGCCTCCGTGTGGCAGCTGATGGCCCCGGCTTGGGTCTGGCTGTGCTTCTGTCCCGCAGCCACTTCTCTGGCCTGTGGTTTCCCCTCTACCTTGACCGCCCTGGCCCCCCTCTGCCCTGCCTTGCTGACGTTATAGTAGTAAATAGTGTTAGGTTCTTTTTTAAAATCTTCATTAGAGAATATTTTTTCCATTGACTTGTAGAGACAGTAGAAGGACAGGAGGGAAGGGGAGGAGAGAGAGAAACCTTGACATGAGGGCGACACATCGATTGGTTGCCTCCCACGTGCATCCCCACCGGGGCCAGGTGTCGAACCTGCAACCCAGGTATGTGGCCTTGACCGAGACCCTGCAGTGAGCAGGCTGGTGCTCTAACCACTGAGCAGCACCGGCCTGGGCACGTGCTAGGTGTTCTGAGGTTTTGCTATGAGGTGTGGCTACCTGTGCGAGTTAGAGAGGGGCTCTGGGCGGGGAGGTGGAGGGGCGCGTCTCGGTGCAGAGGGCGCCTGGCGGGCTCTGGCGGGCAGATGCATAGAGGGCAGGCCTTCCAAGGGGCACGAGCTGCTCAGATGCGGAGGACCTTGAGGGGCCCTGGCCTGGGGCTCACTGCCTGCCCTCCCCCCGCAGGGCACGGTCGGGCCGATGAGGACTGCGGGGACGAGCGGGCCCGGCACCGGGAGGAGCGGCTGCTGGGGGCGCGGCTGGACCGGGACCAGGAGAAGCTGCTGAGGTGAGGGCTGGGCAGCAGGGCCCGGGGCCTCCGCCTGCTGTGGGGGTGACCGGGGGATCCTAAATGGCCCTGGCTCCTTGGCTGTGGGTGCCACAGTCCTGAGCGTGGGAGCTGCCCTAGCCCAGGACCCGGACCCTGGGCCAGGGGGCCCCCGCACCCCATAGCCCCGCTCTGGGGAAGGCCCTGGGCCCCTTCGGAGCTGAGCACTTGCTCTGTAGCCCGGGTGAGTGTCGTCCTTGCAGCGGCCTGGTGCCCACCGCTTGCGTGGGACGGTGTCCCAGGCCTTCCGGGCTAGCGCCATGCCTGTTTCCTTCCAGGGAGAGCAAGGAGCTGGCCGACCTGGCCCGGCTGCACCCCACTGGCTGTGCTGCTAACGGCCTGAACCCCAACCTCATGGTGACCGGGGGCCCAGCGCTGGCAGGCTCAGGTCGCTGGTCCGCCGACCCCGCGGCCCACCTGGCCACGCACCCCTGGCTGCCCCGTTCAGGCGGCACGTCCATGTGGTTGGCTGGACACCCGTATGGTGAGTGGGGTCCTCTCTCCCTGCCCTGGTGGGAGGGGCGGGCAGCGGGGGATTCTGCTGGAGCAGGTGTGGGGGCGGGGGTGTCAGTGGGCAGGGGAGAGCCAGGCCCAGCTCAGCTGGCTGCCGCCTTTTCTGGGGGCTGCCTCCTCATCCCACTTCACTCCCTCATTTGTCCAGGGGGGTAGTTAGGATGGCACAGCCAGTGTCTCTGCCGTGAGCCTGTTGGGGTGGTGCCCAGGGGTAGAGGCCTGGGGAGCAGGCAGGTAAGGGCTGGGCCTGGGGTCCCCAGCACTGACTTGGGCCTGGGTCCCTCCTAGGCTTGGCTCCCCCATCTCTGCACCAGGGCATGGCGCCCGCCTTCCCGCCTGGCCTGGGGGGCTCCCTGCCATCAGCCTACCAGTTCGTCAGGGATCCCCAGTCAGGCCAGCTGGTGGTCATTCCCAGCGACCACCTGCCTCACTTCGGTAAGTGGTGGCCTCACCCAGAGGGAGGCCGTCCTGCATGGGCCGTCCTGGGGGGCCCACGCAGCAGAGCAGCTGCAGGCAGACGGGTCAGAGAGGACCTTCTGACGCGGTTCCCACGTGTGATAAATCGCAGGGGGTCCTGGGAGAAGCTCCGCTGGGATCCCCCAGACCCATGTGGAGCACCAAAGCAGGGCCCCCTGGGGGACACCCCCGCCTCCGTGCCCCCTCCCTCAGCACCCACTTTGCAGCCCCTGCGTGTAGTGGGGAAAGGGGTGGGAGCCCCATGTTGGCACGCTCCAGCATGAGGCTGCAGGGAACTCCTAGGCAGCTGTGGACAGGGCCCCTGGTGAGGGCCCCTCTGGCTCGGCCTCCCCGTCTGGGCGGTGGGGCGGTGGGTGCCAGGGGGGTGCAGCCTCACTGTGTGTCTCGCCCCCAGCGGAGCTGATGGAGCGGGCTGCAGTGCCGCCCCTCTGGCCCGCCCTGTACCCTCCGGGCCGCAGCTCCCTGCACCACGCCCAGCAGCTGCAGCTCTTCTCCCAGCAGCACTTTCTGCGGCAGCAGGAGTTCCTGTACCTGCAGCAGCAGGCTGCCCAGGCTCTGGAGCTGCAGAGGAGTGCCCAGCTGGTGGTGAGTTGAGGTGGGGCAGTCACAGGGGCCAGTGGAGGCAGGGAAGACCCCTCCCCCTACCGATGGTGGGCCACAGAGGTCAACGAGCAGAAACTCCCAACAGTTATGGGCCTTGGGGGGAGAAAAATAATGAGAGGCTAGTGGTCAGGGAGGGCCTCCTGGAGGCGGTGACGTTTACCCAGAGACCTAAAGGAGTAAATCGTGGAGGGTCCCCTGGGCAGAGGGCACAGTAGTGTGAGCAAGACCCAGAGGTGGGCAGAGCTCGGCCGGGCTGGGGTGCAGGAAGCAGTGGCAGGCGAGGTGGCCTTGTGAGCTGGGGAAGTTCGATGGGACAGTGAAGGGACCCCAGTGGGCTCCTGCCGCGTCCCCGTGGGCTGCTGGCTGTCTCCTTGATGGCCCTGGACTCTCCTTGGGCTTGGGTTGGCCTCTGACATCCACGTTGCCTAATCCCATGAGACGGGCTCCCCAGGGCCCTCTGCCCCCCTGTCTCCTTGACGGCCGCCTGGGCCATCTGTCCTCTGCTTGGCCTCGCCCCTCCTCCCGCGGGCAGCGGCCACTCAGGAGGAGCTGGCAGAGGTGGCCCGTGCAGCAAAGGGCGCCTGGGTTTGAGCTCCGCTCTGTCACATCTGGCTGTGTGCCCTTGGACACGTGGCTTCACCTCTCTGGGCTTCGAGTGTTCTCTGGAAAAGGGAGCTGCTAGTCTCCCGTCACCTGGTTGCTCAGTGAGGTGGAAGAGCCGTGCAGGCGGCGCTTGGAGCGTTTCTCCCCCGTGTGTTTGTGTGGGGACTGCCCGGCCGCGTGGGCACTGGCTGCCCTGAGCCAGGTCCCTCCCCTTTCCTCATCAGAGATGGCAGAGGGCTTCTCCGCCCGCCTGGGGACAGGAGACTCGCAGGTAGTGAGCTCTCCGTGCCGGTAGCTATCCTAATGCTGCGAAGCTGCCGGGCGCAGGCGCTCCTTCGTCTTCAGGAGCCTCCCCCTGCCCGGGCTCCCTGCCCTCACTGTGAGGGTCCCGGCGGGAGGCCCCTGGCTTCGTCTGCTGGGTTCTATGAGGAATCCTGTGCTTGTTACACGCGCTCTGCGGCGGAATGTCTGCCCTGGGCGGGGGTGGGGTGGGCGGCCTGAGCGTCTGTGGGCTGGGGCCCTGGGGACCGGGCG